ATATATATATATACAATTAAATGATATATTATTATATATTATATATAAATTAAAATGCTTTCTTATGGTAAACTTGTTTGGAAACAATCATTATTTTAGCAATTCCATTTGTTTCCCCTAGGGTTTTTTTTTTTTTTTCGCAACCTTGAAGATTACAATCAATCTGCCTGTCTTTCTCTGTTTGTTTGTTTGTCTGTCTGTCTATTAATCTGTCTGTTTACTGTATCTATCTTTCTATCGCTTTGTCTTTCTGTCATATGTTTATATTATAATAATATTCTGATATCATATATCTAATAAATAAAGATACGTTTGGAAACAATCATTTTTTTCTAGCAATTTCTTTCGAAGATTACAATTCCTTTTGAACATTACATACCTTGAAGATTACAATAATTTCACCTGGTTTAGAATAGACATGCTTAAAATCTATTTGTCTTTTTCTCTCTGTTTATTTGTTTTTCTGTTTGTTATTCTATCTATCTATCTATCTATCTATGGCTTTGTCTTTCTATCTGTCTGTCATATAATATGTTAATATATTCTAATATAATATAGCTAAATATAAGATACATTAAAAGGGTTTCTTGTGGTAAACCTGTTTGGAAACAATCATAATTTTAGCAATTCCATTTGTAGTTGGAATTAAAGGTTATAATAACTTTGACTGTTTTAGCGTAAATACACTTATTGAAATTATCATGTGTGGTAATCAGCAACACGCCGCAGACATGGTCCATAGAAAATAACTTGGAATATTCCTTCGTAAGTCTGATGGGAATGTGTGGTTTTATGAGGTAGTTTTGGTCTGGCTGGTAAACGCGAGTAGGAAAACACACAGACATAAACACGTTCTTGTGTCGCTGCATGCATGTTCTGCCAGAGAAAACCTGAAGTAAACAAAGGTACTTGAGCAAACAAATTTTGAAGTCTCGGCCCCTCCGCATAAGCTGAAACACATTTATTTGAAATGGTCTCGGGCGAGTCTTTATGCTATGCTTTAGCTAAATGGGCTTCAATAGACAACATACTTTGTTTTGACAGTTCCTCTGTCAAACTTTGGAATCATTTTGGGAAAACCAAAGAGTGAAAGCACAGACCTGCTGTATCCGGAAAGAAAACCTTGTGTGTGTACGTTGAAATCTTAAGAGTTGAAACCATGTGTTTGCTTCAACGACAACGATCAAAAAGTTTCCTTTTGTGTATAAAGCAAATGTTTTTTCCTATTAAATAAGCCACTTGAGTGATTTTGGTTTAAGGTTAATACAAATCACATTCACAACTTTAAGTGTCTTATTATTTATAATGATATATAAAAAATAGCAATTAGCAGCAGCAGTTGAATAACAGGTCAATAAGTAAATGCATTATTGTTATCATTTTTATCAATAATTATTATTATATTTTTAAAAATACTTTTTTAATAAAAATTATTTAAAAATAATAATAAAAACTATTATTAATGTTATCAATAAATAATAATAAATAGTGTCAGTACTCAGATGAATACTCATCCAAGCCTCATCGAATCAAATTTTAGAGCCGTAACTATCTGCTTTATAAATATATAAAGTCTTCGTGTTTGATCTCATCAGGACGGGCCTTTTTATTTGTCCATGAGGGAACCGGAAGGTTGTTTCTGGTTCAGAGAGCTGTAAGACCTGACCAAACACTCCTTGAAGTCTAGTTGTATTAATCGATTGTCTTAAAATGTCAATGTCTGCCGGCCAAAGATGACTCAAATGGTAACATCTCATCCTTGATTTCTATCTAGCTAAAGTTGGCTAGTAAGCAGATGTCTTTTGGTACAGAATGAACTATTAAGTGCCATCCGCCTTCAGGTGGATTCTGGGAAAATAGACAATAGAAAGCTTTTTTCATCTTTATGTTAAAAGGGGGGGAGGGGGGACTGCAGGGAGAAACCAAGACAAAGTCATATTTAACAACCACTCAAAAAGCAACATTTGAGTGCAGGTTACAGTCTGTTACGTCATTGTTCAGCTTTCAAGTTAGTGGAAATGTAGTTCGTTTCTGAAAGAGGTTCACATTTCACCACCATGCACCGGCTCTGTTGCAAGTGCTAGCACTAGCATGTCTTTATGCTAGTTCAGAGGCACCTGAAAGAGAGGAAAGTCAAGGTCACATGTGCCATGTTGTGTTTCTCAACTCCTCTAAGACATGTAAAACACATCATCACAGTCTTTACTCACACCACAGGACACCAGGACTCATTCTTAGCTCAAATATTCCTTAAATCCCACTGAAAGCATATGGAAAATTCATCTGGAAAAGTCACACTTTTCACACATTTGTTGATTTTTTTCCCCTCTGCAATTTAAACCTGTTTGCTATTGCACTGTCATTTTTTTCATTCCTCTCACCTACTATCGTCTTTCGGACCTCATCAATCCTTCCTTTCCTTTCTCTCCGCTGGAAGTCTCCGCTGGTGTAACACGCGGATTCCATGAACAGCTTGATGAACAACCTCAAAGGTTTTTCCCCCAGCCGACACTAGTGTTTCCCAGCCTTTTCAGGAAACACACACACATAGTGGCGTTTCCTCTCCCCGGCCCACAGTCGCCTACGCTCTGCCAGCAGACCTGCCGTGACCATGATGTCATTATTTCCCCCATAGCGCGGCCGTATGCTTGCGAGCGTGTGGCTGTTTATCGGAAAATTCTGTCTGGGGGCTTTCACGGAACATCTGAGTTTACCACGGTCTCAACGCGCGTGCATGTGTGTATAATCGGCATAAAAATGTCTGGTTTTCTTGTTCTGTTGTTTGTGGCCAAACAAACAGCGATTCTCATACAGTTTTGAGGCGAATAAATGTAGCCTACTGGATGGAGCCCAGTATTCATTGTCTCACCACACTGCCGTATTCAAGTATTCAATGTTCTTAAAGGGATAGTTCACAGATAGTTCACAAAGCTCTCAGATTTCGTCAAAAATATCTTAAATTGTGTTCCGAAGATGAACGAAGGTCTTACGGGTTTGGAACGACACGAGGGTGAGTAATTAATAACAGAATTTTTGATTTTTGGGTGAACTATCCCTTTAACATGTGTATGCATGTCTTTTTGTAATTTTCAAAAAAAACAAAAAAAAACGGTTCCTGCAAGTTTTTAATTTCAAGTATTTATCTCCTTGACATACTACTGTTTTCAGTTTTACCAATTTTTATATTTGTTTTATATTTGTTTGTACGAAGAAGATGTGCGAAAAATAAGTTTTTGAGGTAAACAATAATTTTACGAATAAAAATATCTGAATGAATTTATGCCAGTATTTCTTGTGTTAGTTTGCTGGTGTGTTCAATTTAATGTTGTTTGCATAGAAAATGTAAAAATTATTTTTTGTAAAGACCACACGGTCACATTTTTAAATTAATTTTTAAGTAATTTTTGTGGCAAGTACGATAATTTTATAAGTAAAAAGTTGTTCTTTAGCTTCGCAAATCAAAACAAACTGCATTTGCATAGAAACAAAAAAAACAGTTGGAACATTGAGGTTCTTGTGAATTTAGGAATTTAGGAAAGAATTTATTTTTAATGATTGAATCTCCACCAGTATCGTTTCGGTTCACTGGTTCGTTCAAGTTGCCACAGATTCTTTGTTTATGTGATTTGCATAGAAAATGTGAGAAACGCCGAAAATTCTATTTTGTACATCTTTGAGGCAAACATAAGAATTTTACAAATAAAAAAAAAGCTTTTATAATCTTTGTAAATCAAAATGCACTACATTTTCACAAGAACTACAGGTTTTGAAATGCCCCAATTATTGATTTTTGAAAATTACCTTTCATGCAGTGTGGAAATAGCTGTATGTGAATGTAAACAGTCTGCAAAGTTGTAAAGCTAAAAGCGTAAAGTTACTGTCTCTCAAAATAAGGAGTTGACTCTGAATCGCTTAAACTTAACTTAAATCACCTAAAAGTCATTTAAAATTCAAAACCCATTTCCGTGAAGTTCATGTCACAAGTTACCACATTTGCATTATTCCGATACGTTCTGCATCCTGCGGAAACTTGAACTTAGGCTGTAGCTCATTGGTGTGGATACCAATGTCGAGAAGACGCTGTGGAAGTAAATTCGGTTTATTTTCACTTCCAAAGGATGAGGCTGTGAAGAATCAGTGGTTAAATTTCACCTTTACATTGGGCTGATATTGTGGGCAGCGCGTCGACATGTAGCGCCATTGTGCTTTGGGCGTCCCGTGTTTGAGTCCAGGTGTGCTGACATTTTATCCTATCCGTCAGATTGCCCTACCAGGGTTTACTGCGTATGCGCACATCAATATTGCGTCCTTTTTCTCACACTGAATAACAATATTTAATGTATCTGCATTACTGTAAGGGTTTAGGGTTGGGGTAGGTGTAGACTTTAATAAAACACAATCTAATAGGTATAAAAAATGATTTATTGTACGTTTCCTGTAGCTGTATCCCTTCTAGCCGCAACCGTGAATATAACATACAATTACTGTATGTGCATTACTGTAACACTGTGTCTACACTGGACGCAACAGTTGTCATGTCGCACCGCGCCGCACCGCAACAGCTAAAGTCTGTCTGTTTACACTGGACGTGACAAAGCGACCGTTGAAAATCATTTGAACGTCAGGTGTGGACACGGTGTAAGGGTAGGTTTAGGGTTGGGGTAGGTGTAGACGTTAATAAACCATAATTTTACCAGTAGCATTTTTCGTTGTCGAATTGCACTACCCACTGTTTTAATGGGAGGTAGCAAAATCTGACAGGGTAGCACAAATCTCACAAATAGATCCCCTCCCCCCTCTCTCTCCCACTTCGCTTCCTGTCTAACTACTGTCCTATCAAATAAAAGTGAAAATAAATCTTTTTAAAAAATCACCTTTACCTCGATACCACAGCAGCATAATCCCAAACTTTTGCTGTGTTCCCATCATTTCACTGACGAATGCTTCCCCAATCTACCGCGAGATCAAAGCGCGATTCGTAAAACGGTTGTCCTTGAAAGATGGGTCAGTGCCCAATTTGTTTGGACCAGCTTGCTCCTCCAAATCAAAACCTGTTTCTTTAATGTTCTGTCGAGCATGCAAAATATGTAGTTTTGTGTGTTGTGTATGCACTCAGTGCAGCTTTATGTCTCAGGTTTACTCATGTTATAATTCTACTAATATATAGTTCTGCTAATCAACTGTGGGCCCGCTATTATCTAGAAATTTGTCGATTAATGTCTGTCGTTCTTATTACTTGAGTCATGATCAAGGATGGAGCAATACGTTGGGGTTTACAAACTGTAGTGATTTTTTAGTACTCCATGTCTGTGTTCAGCTAATGCATATAAACCAGTATTGTTTGGGTCTTTACTATGTTCCGCTTCCATCTGGTGCAGTAAGCAGTCGACCAATCACAACAGACTGAGTCACCAGACCAATCAGAGCAAAGTAGCCTCACACAAAGGAGGGGTTTGGAAACATGAATCTTTGAATGAAACGTTTGAGAAATAAGGTAAATTCAAATGCATACATTATAAGAAAATGAAAGTTTTTTTTTTTTTTTTTACCTTGCATGCATGTAAACCTGTTGTTGGGATCTCCCAAAACCAAATTATGAACCTTTTAAATAGCATAATACGGGCACTTCAATATTCAGTTTATTTTGCAAATTTTGAATTATAATTTTTTTATGTTTGAAACTATGCCAGCATTTATCTTGTCGGCTTGCTGGTGTGTTCAAGTTACCACTGTTTTTGTGTTTATGTAATAATTTCTAATTCTGTTCTTCGTTAGGAAACAACTGTGATTTTCATACATTTTTGAGGTTAACTCAAGAATTTCACGAATAAGGAGCAGTTGTTTGTCCTCTTTGCAAATCAAAACAAACTCTATTTGCACTAGGTCAAACATGTTTAACCGCTCAGGCGTTGGGTGAAATCAAAGCCTCCGAGGTTTCCATGAGAGTTTAACGGTTATTCTCCATGTTGGTATCTCCGCCAGAATTCACCGCCTCGCCATACTGCTGTATTCGTGTCGTGCCGCGGTTGTTGAGGGCGTTCCAAGCTGCTCTGCCGTCTGTGTGTGTGTGTGTGTGCTGTCAGCTGGTGAGTAATAGCAGTCTCGGGTCTCTAAATCTCGACGGACCGCTGCACTGTGGAACGGCGTAGCAGGCGGCCACCAGGGATGGGGTCTGTACACACGCACACACACACGCTGAATATTAATACACGCATGTGTGTGTGTGTGCTCTGGAGAGTGTCAGCCCCCCCGTGGATTTGACTGGCAGGCAGGAGTGTTGCGAGCGTTTAGCCCCGCTGGATCTGTGCGTGTCGGCCGGTGACTATGAGGACAGGGTCAATTAGAGGGTCAACGCGTCCCAAAGGGCAGCCACGCCCACATGTGCACACGCACACACACTCACTGACACATTTACACACTTTTTCCGTCCTCTGGAGAGGAAAGCACAGACGCTACATTGACCCTCTATCTCTCTCTCTCTCTTTCAATCTCTTTCTATTCTTCCACGTCCGTGTGACTCGTGTGCAGATTTATAATGAATAATGCATTTTCTAATCAGCACTGGAAGGCTGTCTCTCTCTCTCTGTCTGTCTGTCTCTCTCTGTGTGTGTGTGTGTGTGTGTGTGCGTGAACTCTTATAAAAGAGGTTTCGTGCATCTGAAGCAGAGCGGTGATTTGCAGGATGGTTAGCTAATCGCTTCAGGACGGAGGTTATACTTCGCACATCAAGTGTCAATGAGAAGCATGTCCTTAAAAACAAAGATTAAACAAATGCAGTTGGCGAGGTGTGTGGTCATGTTTTAAGGAGGTTTGAAGATGTAATTCTTTCCATGACTTTAGCGTTCCTAATCTCTGCTTTGCGCTCAGTGAAAAAATGTGTTATATCCTTGTTTTTTTTTGCTAGTTAGTGATTTATGGTTGATGGGCAGAGATTGCTTTCCCTATTCTCTCATCCGTCTCCCTACCTCTCTCTCTCTGTAACTGCCCGGAGTGGAAGAAAAGCACGCAATTGAAATTTATTGCCTACATTTTGCCTCCTGCCCCGCTTTGTCTTATTCTCCGATTCAATTCATTGTTCTCACTAAACAGGGGGCTTTCTCACCAAAGACTCACTTGCACTCACACAATGTCAGTGCTCAACAGATCGTGGGGTTTGATTTTGGCCACTTGTTTGTGCACACGGCAAACGTGCACACACACACACCCATCCCCTAAGCCCCTCCATCTCCCAGGCCGCTCAAACACACCCCGTGACAGCTGTTGGCTTCATTGTTTCCATATGTGCTGTGTTGAGGTGAACGTTTACAGGCTTACAGCTTTTTACCGCCACATGCGAAAGACAGACCACAACGTGGAGAACTGCAATATAGATGTAATAGAGAACGGGAATACACGACACAAACAACAGAAAAAGAGACATGGCAAAGAATAGAAAAGGACACAACATGCAACTAGAATACAGATGGGACTGAAACAGACAAAACACAGACAACTAGAATACAAAATAACAGAAAGATGTTTAGTCCATTTCATTGTTTCATTCTTCTGACATTTTCTATGTGGTTCCAGTTTTCTGTGTCGTGTCTGTGTTACAGTTGATGTGACAAAAAACTAAAACATGGGTGAGACATGGGGAAATACAGTACATACGTGGCAGAACAATAATACAGATTAGATGTGGACAGCTAGTATACAGACGCAACAGAGAGAACTGATATAGAAACATGACAAAACTAAAACATAGACACTACTGAGATGTAAAACACAGACAGAACACAGAGAACTACATGACACACAGAACTGAAGAACAGACAAATTAGAATACAGACAGTCAATT